TGTTGATTGTAAGTAGATGTTTAGGACTAAAAGAAATGCAATGGATGTGGTACAAGCCAACACATGTCTAAGGCTGGACCATTGCATTTGACAATGGTAAAGAAGATATTAATATACTTAAAAGATACAATGGACCTCAAATTGTGCCTTGGTAGTAAGAACATTGATTTGTAAGGTTATTGTAATGCGATTTGGGCTAGATATGGAAATGATAGAAGATCCACAATGGGATATGTCTTCTTCATTGGAATGGGAGATATTTCATGGAATTACAAGAGACAACCTACCATTGCAAGATTAACAATGGAGGTAGAGTACATGGCAGCAAATTATTGTGCAATAGAGGCGTGTTAGATAAGACAACTCTTAGAAGACATTGGACTAGTACAATTAGAAGAAACTCTAATTATATGTGGCAATCAAGGATGTCTTACATTTATTAAGAATAAAAAAATAAAAAAATAAAAAAATACACCATTTTAAAACCAAGCACATTAATGTTCAACATCATTTTATACAAGAGAAGATTGAAGATGGAATAATAGGTATGAAATATTGTGCTACAAATGACATGCTTGGTGATGTACTTACAAAAGTATTAGTGAAGTATAGACATCATGAGTTAATACAAAGATTAGGATTGAGAGCCTTTTGAAAATTAGCAAAGTGGAAGTGTTGAAGATCAACAAGTACTTGCTTAGTTACAACTACATAGATATTAAGCATAGTATGTTGTTAATATTCAAAAGGTAGTAAAGAGTTAAAGAAAGTTACTATGGTAGGACCAAGGATTTAGTTAGATGAAGTAGAAATGGATGTAATATCAAAAAGATGGAAGTTGCCTCGTTGGTAAGGAAACCACCACTTATAAGTAAAGGATGTTGGAAGTAAGAATTATCTTTCTCCACACTTCTCTTAGAATACAATCCTTGCTGATGCTAAGTATTTGTAGCTTTTAGACTTCTTTTCTTTAATAAATAGATTCCTAATGCATTTTCAAGCTTGATTTTATATACTATATTAATGTATAGTTTCAATTTGTATATCTTATACATTTAATTATATTATTAGAGCTATTTTTAATATAATTATAGGAGCATTGAGGTACTTATATATAGATTTTTAATTGAGGTTTAAAAAGTTAGTTGTTACATTTGATAAAAAATTCAATAATTTAACCTAAAGTTTTAAAATCAAGCAAATTGAGCAATAATTTCTTCACATCATATTGTAACTTATATAGAAATTAATTAGTGACTACATCATTGTTCTATCAAACATTAATTGTTAATTTTTACTATTAGAAAGCATACATTAACATAGAATGATTCTATGCTATAAAATATGGATTTTGTTGGTTTTTGTATAAGTTGTATTATATTTTTTAAACATAAATTAATTTTTTTCCAAAAATATATTTAAGTTTTCTAATATAGGATCTTATTATTCTAAAAAAATGAGAATCAAGAAAGAAGAAATCTACTACTTTAAGTTTCAATAAATTTAATATGAAATGCTTAAATTGGATGATTAAGAAGTTGGAATTGAATAAAAAGTTATACTTGGTTGATGAATCCTTTAAATTTAGATCTAATAGTATGAAAATTCTTAAAAAGAATAAATTTTGATTTTCTAATTGATGAAATTACATAAATTACTTGAAGTGGTGTAATTGTTGAAGAAATCCTTGTCATTTGTATAATTTTATAATTAAATGCTCTTAATGTTGGTGGAAATAGTAGAGAAAGTTGATGCATATCAAACATCCAATTTTTCATTTTTTTCTTGTGTTTATAATACGGCCTTCTTTATTTCTACAAAATGTGCCATACTTATAAGAGCTTGAAAATTTCTATACCAGAAGAAAAAAAAAAAAAAAAAAAGAAGAAATATTTCCAATATAATATTAGTTTAGAAGAAGCTAATCTAAATCTTCTAAAATGCTTTGATGCTTTGAAAAAAACAAATTCATTATTTATTAAGAAAGATAAGGCTCTAATATTCTGTATGTTAGTCTAATTAAAATTTCAAGGATATAAATTTAGTCATAAATCTAAAAAAAATCAAAAATAAAATACTCATTTATTACCAAGAATAGAAGAAAGTGAGTAGAAAATAAATAGAAATAAGAGAAAATAACTAAAATTTATATTTTAAAATAAAAATAAACCAAAAAATCTTAAATTAAGATTCAAATATAAATAAAAATATTGGCAAGATTGATGATGGTTTCATTCTTGCTTCCATTTATACCAACTATAAAAAAAACTTTGTAGAAGCTTTCTAAGGACTACAAGACTTATGATCTAAATATTGAATTATAAATTTCTTCCAATGTGGCTTCTTTAAAGTAAAAAATATTTAGAACAAGTTATAATAGCCATATCTATAAAGACGATGCATATCTATTGGAATCTAAAGATATAATCTACATTTGGAAACTTTGTCAAAGTTTCTTGAGAAAGATATTATTTACCTAATATGTTTTATCTACTTTTAATTACTTCTATTTAATTCTATTTATTCAAATATTATATGCATCCATTATATTTATATTTATATTTATATTTAAAAAAACTAATTATATATTTTATTTATCTTATTATAATCTATTTTATTATATTATATAATCTTCTATTTTTATAAGCTTCTTTTTAATATATTTTTTGCTTTTAAATAGGTTATGGCCTTATAAATGTATTGAGATTAAATTTTTATTGGTAGTTTTTTATATTTTAAAATTATAGATAATTTAAAGTATTTAGATATTTTTAGATAAATTTTTAATTCTAATAAATTTCAATTATGTATTCACATAAAGTAATCTTTAAATTACTTATATTAGCTTAATAATTATAAATCTATAAACAATTAAATTTTATCTTTTTTAAAAAATTACTAATTTATTAATTTAAATATATATAAATATGTTGCAAGAATTTATAGAAATTTAAATTACTAATTCATCATATACATATATTATAAATATTCAAATACTTTCTTGCACTAGCATGAAAAAAATAAATGTATTTTGTACTAATTGAGAGCTTAAATATTTAATTTTTTATAGTATATTCATTTTGATTCATTATATTAAAAATTCAAATATTATTATGTATAAAGGCTAATTTAATATAAATAAAGTATGTAAATTATTTTAAAAAAAAATCTTGCAATTTTTTTTATATTCCAATGTTTAAAGTGTAAAAAAAGTAATAAGATGATAATTTAAATATTAGAAGTATTGGAAAGAATCAAGAGAAAAATTGATACTAATTTAATTGAATATATAAATAAAAGTGAAATCTAAGCTTTATTTAAATAAAATACTATATTTTAGTAACTAAAATAGATCTTCATAAGGTTGAGGCAATAGAAGAAAGAAGTAGAAGAGAATCTTGTGTTTTCTATATGTACATATTTGGTTGCTATATATATGTTAAGATCTGTAAATTATTTTTTAAAAAATTAAATTTGATGCAAAGTCAACCAAGTATTCTGATTTTTTATGTTTTTATTTTTTTCAAGTATTTTTAAAAATACAAGGTATGCATGTTGATATTGGTAAAATTTAAGAAAATAATCTAATAATGTGATACAACATTTTATGAAGATTTTAGTATAGATGTAGATTTACAAGATAGTTTAAGTAGAAGAAGTGATAATAAATTCTTATTAATAAAAAAAATCATCTAAATTTATGTAATTAAATCAAATTAAAGATTATGTCTAAGTTGGTATAATAGATACTAAAAAAAATTTTGAAGACTAAGAAGGCCAAAAAGGTGGAACATCAATCTAAAAAAAGACTAGCATAATGTAAATTTTTATTTTATATATAGATAAGTCAATTATTTTTAGAAGTTCCATGAATTCTATATAGGCATTACAAACCAAGTTTGACAAAGAATATAATATGATTGACCTTAATAAATTGCAATTTTGTCATAGAATTGAATTTTTGAGAGACAAGACAACATCTACATCATTCATGAGTCAAAACAAGCTCATTACAAATTTTCTCCATCTATATGCAACAAATGATTACAAACTTGTTAAAAATCTATTAAAAGTTTAATCAAATTCTATCAAAGATATAAAAGATTAATTTCTAATAAAAGCTTAAATTATAGAAAAACTACTATATAAACAAGTTATATAATGCTATAATAAGACAACTCAACTTTGTATCTCCAATAAGTACAGTGAACTAGTATGTATAGTACACATCTATATATCCTATATAGATTGTCATAACAAATCCATTTGGTTGACACTTAAATAGACCAACCAACTCCACAATATACTCAATAACAACAGTTTTAGTTTACAATACGCTTCCAATTGCACTCCTCTGAATTCAAAATCTCCTTCCTTTCTTTCCTTCCTTACTGTAAAAGCCTTAATCAAAGTGAATCACGAAATATGGTCTCCAAAACCAGATGATGCCGGCATCCAACGGCGGAGATTCAACACTAGGCACCCAGTTCAGATTCTACCTCACTGGTTGCAATGTGTCAAATGTGTTGGAATCCACGAACGTTAGATCGAAGCTTTCCTTCCTTCAGTCTGCCAGATAGCTTCTTTCTTCGCACTCTTGAAAACAAGTAGACCATGAAAACAAATGCTGTAAGGATCGGCTCTTAAATTCTCTGTTCAAGAGACTATAAAAGCTTGACGTAGCGTTTCGTCACTTTCTCAATCATCAGTGATGAAGACCATGAGATATGCGTCTAAAGACTATGGATTAGAAGAACTGCTGGGGTTTTCAATGTTATCGTTTCATAGAGAAGAAGGATCCATGCTGCAGATTGTGTAATAGCAGGGCCACTCAAACCATGAAATAACCAAAGTTAGGAATTTTAAACAATCATTACTCAACCAGATCAGGAATGCCTTCACATCATGTACACTGACCTGGACTTTAACCTCATAGAAATTCGTGGCGCAGGCAGTATGATTAAGTAATAGCAGTCTTCAAATTAGACGTGATCGAGGGAATGACTCCAGAGTTGCCGTCGGAGTTGCGGCTTCAATTGCAAGCCGCCACTCGTGCTGTAAAATGGACCTACTTCACCTTCTGGAAACCAGCTCCCGGTGACCAGAAGTTGTCACTCTCCAAACGGGTTGGTTATCGTCATTTTTTCAGAATGTGTAGCTGGTCCTCAGCACCATGTCTGCGACAATGTAATGACATCAAAATCCTGTTATGACAGAAAGTTGGTTTGGGGTGATGGCTACTTCAATGGAACCATCAAAACACGAAAAACCATCGATGGCAAGGAATTGACGCCTGAGGAGTTCGGTTTGCAGCGTTCTCACCAGCTTCGTGATCTTTATGAAACATTGTCTAATACTGAACTCAGGCATGCGATTGCTAACAAGCCAGTTGCTTTGAAGCCTGAGGATTTCGCAGAAGAAGAATGGTTCTTACTCCTATGAATGTCCTGCAGCTTCTCTGAGGGAGTAGGGTACATGCTATTCTACCCTTTATCAAATGCTAACATATACCCATTCCCAGCTTCTGTGATTAAGGCCTAGGAAAAGGACTTTGATCCAGTAGCATGGTGGTCAAATTGATAATATGTTGAGTTAGTTCGAATCTATTTGGGTATCGATATTATTGATATTAATATTATTATTGTGTTGTGGTCAGAGGTACTAATAATTATTAATATTATTATTTGTCATTGTTGTATGTCATCCCGGACAGGTTGATGGGAAGGGCTGCAGCAAGCGGACGATACAAATGGCTATGCGGAGCCAACGGGATGACTACCTAAGTTTTCACACGAGCCCTTATTTCTAAGGTGTCCTTTCACGGCTCCCTTGAACAACTGATAATTAACTGAAGAGCTGATCTTTGTGAAAAGCACTGGGTTGCTTAAAACAAGCGTGGTCAATTAAAAAGTATAAACCAGCGTGTTGTGAGTCATCCCATCCACCCTGAGTTAGATATAATCAAGTATTCAGCCGAGGGAACCAGACTACGAAAACCACATTGTGCTATTCCCTAAGTGCTTTTTTGACTCGTGTTTGTGGTGGTCAGAGGTACTAAAAACTACAAGTTGAGCGCAATTAATTGCTTACTTGTACTACACATGCAGAATCGTCATCATGATTAACCAACTTGTTGTGTTTTAGATAATGCACGAGATACATTTTCTCAGCGAGGGAAAGAGACTGCACTTTACTAGAGTGATGAAGCGTTGCCAGTCTCAACTAACCTGAGTAGTTGTGGTTCTCTGGATGGCTGGGAATGATGCGACACCGCTACTGCTTAGATGTAACAAGAGTGCCTCCATTCAGGTATCTCCTTAGCTAACAACTGCTAAACTATTTGTTGTGCTCAAATTGATAATCCTTTTTTTTTTTTTTTTTTTTTTTTTTTTGTGTTTGTTTTTGCTTTTTATGTGTACGTTGCGAACAAGAAAAAAGATGCATACATGTTGTTTCATGGCGGTGACAAACAGACGGTTATCTGCGTTCCTCTTAAGGATGGTTTTCGAGAGTTCGGAACAACCCAAAATGTAAGCAACCAATCCCTCAAAAAGAAAAGTCCATCGCATTATATTTGTGGGTGTCGTCAATACGATTGAAGCCCTGACTTTTATCTAGAGCAGGTACCAGTAGACTCGAAGATGGTGCAACATCTTTTATCCTTCTTGGAACAACCAAAACATAACCGCTCACAAAGTTCTTTGGTCATCGGGCAAAGGTACGAGCCTTCCAACATGACTTGTCAGAAGTCAGAACATGAGGCTCACGGCAACCAATCTCCAAGTTCTGGTAAGCAAACAAATCTTGTTAATATTTTTTTGTTTTTGTACAATATCACTCACAAACCTTGAAACTCTTAAGGAAAGACGCAACGCTCCCGTAATGTGGACATACGTCGAACTCACTCCTTCCTACATTTTGCGTTGGCACAATGGATACAAGTATTTTTGCATAATTTTGATGGAATCCTCCGGCATGCAAGTGCAAGAAATCCCAAGAGGGCCAAGCTTTCCAATCCTCCAAGGACGAAGGTTGAGGATAAAATGTCACTGAACAATGTGAACATCAGCACGCGCTTGTCACGTCAAGGACCCAGAACATGTGTACACATCTTTCAGCGATTGCAGGTACTTTCTGCATCAAATCCCACCAGCTTAATCTGCTATAATTTCGGAATACTAAGCTATATATCGAGGTTATCTTCCACCTAACTTGTAGTTTTATTTCATAACTTTTCAGATATTGGAGAACAGTACAGTAATCAAATCTATTCCAGTTCCGTTGAGCACCAGGTTAAAGGTGGAGAACATTCAAAACACCGAAAACCTAAAATTCAGCGAGTAATGCGGATAGATTCTTGTCTTACTGTTGAACAAATATTGACTTCCTTGTGTTTCTGAAAAACTTAATTGGCGATCTGCACAGGGCAGTGCTTCAAGGCGGAATGGAGAACAATTTCCAGAAGGTTCTAAGCGTACTTCACCTGCGAGCGCATTTGTCATTTGGAAGAACAGCCTAACACCTCCGAGGAAATATCGCAAGGCTGGGAATCGTCAATGGATTTTGAAAGAGGTTTTGTTTCATGTCACACAACTCTTCAATGGTACCTTGAAGGAAATCAACGTGGAAGTAGAGAGCAGCTTAGTAACCACCGAAAAAGTTGGTGAAGACAGAAGGGCCTCCGAGTTGGAATCTCATAAACCAGTACCAAGTATTGAAGAAACAAATGCTAGTCATGTGCTTGCAGAGCGTAGAAGACGAGAGAAATTGAACGAAAGACTCTTGTCATTGCGTGCTCTGGTACCCAATGTCTCCAAGGTATGCTCTCCTTCCTTGTACTACTGTATTCTATTATCTTTTTGTTCAAGAAGAGAAAACTAAATAACATCCCAGAGGACATGTGTCTTTTGCAGATGGACAAGGCATCGATCCTTGGAGATGCAATAGAGTACGTGAAGGAGCTTCAGAGTCGACTCCAAGCTTTTCAAATAAGGGCGGAGCCTTAAGGCAATCTGGGATATCAAATGGGAATGCATTCAACACTAATACCACCATAGAGAACTTGAAGCGGACTAATCCTGAGCAAGTGGAAGACAAGATTGCAAAGTCTAAATTCATTGAAACTGAAGAGAATACTGAACATGGGCACATAAATGTTCTATGGAAAATATCATGGCTCTTGTCAAGTCCAATTGCCCTTACCGACAAATGATGTTTCTCAGCATGCTTCGAACACTGAAAAAGTTTGATTTTCAAGTATTTTCCGTGCGTTCTTCCGCATCAGATGGAATCCTTTCAACTACCTTACTAGCGAAGGTACCTTACTTTTCCAAACGGATACCTCGTATCGGTTCTACGGGTGATTTTCTTATCCAATGTTTCTTGGTTTCTTAATCCTGTTCTTCACATTTTGTCAGATCTTCTGTACCTGTAGGTGAGAAGTGCTGCTGACGGATCTAGGCCAACTATCATCGAGGTGGAAGAGAGCTTGCGTCGAACTGCTAAAGAGCTCTTAAGCCACCGATCCACTGCATCTTCACTTGAGCAAATGAATGTTCCCTTGATTCTAAGTAGAGCACTTAGTGTTTCATCATCGTTGTCTTTTTCATCATGATCATCAACAATCTTTTTCAAATACAGTTATTTCATTCTTAAAAGTCTCAGGTGAATTCTGACTTCTAAATATCTACATGGGTCATATATGTAAAATTGTTATACATCTGCTGCTTGTTGAGCACATATTCTACTAGTTCTATGATGTCCCTCGTTATGAAGTGGGCAATCACCGCATGAATGGGATGAGTAAATACTCGGCATAGAAAAGCTGCAGAAATTCCAAATTTGCGAATTCTTGTCAGAAATGCACCCTGAATGTATGAAAGGATATTATTCAAAATGAGTCTAGGTTTTGAATCTGGCGAGTCACCGACCTTCCAGATGAACATGTACCACGACGTAATTGCAGCTTTGCTTGTGAGGTCAACGCTGTCAGATCGCTCCCACAGTATCCCCGCCATGATGGCGTGCCCCGTGGCCTGCAAGAAATACATCGGTTAGGATTAGAATAACTACACATCACCTCGCAATCATCATATGAAATTTAATAACAAACAGTTGCAAGACAAACCGCTACTTACTGTGATGACTTTGCTCGCCAGTGTCGGAGCTGTGAGACCAGTGATAATGGCTACAAGATATGCGGCCTCCAGCAAGGTGACACACATCCAGAATACCTGTTCCCATCACTCATCTCACACATGAGCTCTCGAGGTGTGAAGACTTGCACTATTGATGAGTAATTCAAGTGTGAAGCGGTGAGTTGATCAGGTTGTTACCCGTTTCTGGCCCAGTCTCACACTGAAAGAGCGGATTCCAAACTCTTTATCTCCCCGCACATCTGGGATGTCCTGCCCAACAGAATCCAGAGTTTTATCGTGCACAAATTTTACACCCATTTCTTCACCATTTCTCAGATTACTCAGAAATTTAACCAGGATCAGTGCTAGCGGCAAAGAGGACGCTAATTGAAACAATCAGAAGGTACCTTAGCGAGCGCAATGACAACAGAGAAGAAACACATGAATCCAGTCGCAAACCAAAGTGGTTTAGGGAAATTTGCAGCTCTTCCAAGAATAGAAACCTGTACAAAGAAACAATGGCTTAGAGTGCAAGACGAAATTTACGATTGCTACATTTCATACCCGAATGCACTGGGAGATTACCTGCATATGAAGATAGAATCCAAGTTGTACAACCAAGGCTCTTACAGCCAAAATGCAGGCTGCTGCTGCCACCGCTGACCTCTTCCATCGCAAGAATGGTAGCTGTCATTGAAATTAGGGATGGAATGAGAATGGTAAACATGAAAACTGAGGAATAATTGATAAGAAACGAATGGTGACGAACATACATCGGCTGAGTACGCTGTGCCCAGAACCAAGCTGACCAAGAGAGCCCACAGCAACGGCGGGGACTCCACATAAAATCCCATTCCCACACTCTGCCAACACCCTCCAAGGCAATTCCGTCACCACACATACTCCAATAATAGATTGATTCTTTTCTAAACTGAACCGTCAGCATAGCTTAATGAAATGATTGTGAGTGTTTCGATTAACATACCACGGCTGCAAAGAACGTCACCAGGATTATGCCTGTTGCGACGGAGAATTCTCCTGACGCTAATGGCAAATTAGGCTTATTCACTTTGTCTATGTCGATGTCATAGAGTTGATTCAAGCCCACAATGTACACATTCATGCAAAGCGCCGGAATCACCGCCTGGAAGTACACAACACACTCAAGTCCAACTCCTTAGCCTAGAATGTCGACATGACACTTCAACGAGACATGGCCTAACGAAGCACTTGCTCAACGGTAACCAATTTCGGGACTAAGGTCCGAGAATTACCTTCAGCAGTCCGATGGCAAATTTGAAATTGACGTCACTCACCCCTTGACAGGCCAACAATGAGACGGAAGTCACACCCAAACCCTGAGAGCACAGACAGACAGACACTCCTTCACAATCCGATGGCGACAATTTATCATGTTCTCGTGAATTTGAAACAGGATTGTCCCAAGCATCTGGCGCAAGTACAAGCGAGCAAGTGTTTCAGTTTCTATAGAATTAGGAGACTTACGGAGCCGATGATGGTATGAGGTCTAGTAAAGCGCCAGAAAGCGCTGAACCAATTCACTCTGGTTTCTACCAATTCTGAGGGAAGAGACGATTCCCCATCCAAGTCGAAGGGTTCTGAAGTTCGGGAAGTACGGGATACTGCACTTCTATGCGAATTTCTTCCTGCGCTTTCCAATGGATCAAACTTCGTGAAAGTTCCATGAGGTCCTGCAACCTGGGGGCCACTGCAACTATGGTTGTCACATTTTTGGAATGAATAGTTATTCGCTCGTCTCAACTTTATCCGAGGAACCCCCCCTGGACACAATCATCAGAGTATTAGGTGTTAATGCATTGCGTGGTAGCAATCTCGGTACGCACATCCTCGCAGCAATTCTAGGGACCAAGCAGTGTTGACTTGATAAAGTGCTCTAATCTTGCTGGAACAGCATGCGAGAAACCCAGTGCTTCATGAGCCATTGTTTAGGCCTAGTGATACAGGAGGGAATGTACACTCACAGTTTGCGTTGATGTTGACACGGTAGTGCTGTGGAACATGAAAATCTCGTCGGAACGTCGATTGGGTTGAGGGTGTCGCAGAAATTGAGCATGTTTGCCGAGCCATGAGCCCAGCATGCTCTTTTGTCGCAACCAGACGCATGACTGTCCTGTCAAATCTTCTACTGTCTCTTTCTCAAGTATCTTGCAATGTGTGCCGTCGGAGTTGACGTCTCTATCTCTAGCAGCCTTCGACTGCAATTCACATAAGGTTTAGAACACTATTCACACGTCTCGCAATTCTGTTTTCTGCTAAAATCGCGGAAACAAGTTTGCCAGTTGGGGAGGCTCCTGTACTAGCTTTTAACAAGTTCTCCCTCTTCACTATTCACAGTAAGTTGGTTGATGAACTGCTATGAGCATCTACAAGCTTTCGCAACGCCCCCAACTCTGATATGAACCCAACACGCAATTTAGCAGTACAATCGAAGAATAATACGGTCGCAACCACCTCAGGGGAAAGTACTTGAACAGAAAACAAGGAGCTGAACAACGTCACCGCCATAAATTAGATTCTTCAAGACGAGCTTTCGCTATTCAACACGCGCCAACAACTACGATGAGAATCGTGCAGTACGAGTAGGCCACCCCTCCACGAGGATCAAGACATCATGATTTGCTGCAACTCACAACGCTGCTTTGAATGTTTCGCTTCCACATGACGACACATGAGTAACTTTTGCCATGCATGCAATATTATGTGAACAATTTGATGGAGCTGGATAAGCAAGTACCGCGGCTAACGCAGCGAGCCACTTTATTGTTTGATCTAAAGATAATTGCTGGCTTCATAAGTGCGAGACTTAATGGGCTTGCAGTACTAATTCAGATTCAGCTGCAGCGCTCGGTCGATTGATCACGACATGAACACACATGACCTACACAGCAGTCTGGCTCAAAAGCAAATGAGCTGTGTCCCTGAAAATAACGATCATCGCCGCAATAGATGCGTATTACATTCATTAATCTCGGTCCCAGCATTGAAATAGTAATCCCCTTCTCCGCTACTCCCAGTCTCCGGGTACAGGCAACTTAGTTCCTCAGTTAACGCGAGGCATGAACTTCATGGAATTACGAGCGTAAGATTAGGTTTAGTGAATGTTGAATTTTGGTAGAAATAAGGCGCGGGGGCATTTGGCACGGCGAGGATTTTCTGTGCCAACTCTGCAGGACTATAGTCAGAATCACAAAAGTCCGAGTCTATGCACATTACACTTTTACATTTGAATGGATTGTGATACTATCTTATATCCTCGTCGTATAAAGGCACTGTTGCAGCATTGTAGAGATCTGGTTGTCTGTGGTATTGGCTCTCCAGCTGCTATCCTGCCGTGATCCAGTACCATTGGACTAGGCACTGGAGCATCGATCTAGATAAATTAAATCATTCTCTTTCTTTAGACCATACCCCACTTGCGAGTAGCAGGTGGACTGGACTTGTGAATTTACTTGTGAAAGAAGCACACTGCGTCGCAGCATTTGAAGAATACATCCGAGGACTGACTTGATTACGGTAACCAGCAGCAGCTAAAGCAAGGCGCAGAGATTGCTGCGTCATACAAAGTCCTCTTTAATTCCAGAGCTGGTGTGCACACTACACGACTCCATGAATCGAAGGTATGTGAGGAGTTGTGATAGATCGATTGTCGACTCGCAAGACAAAAGGGGCACAACCAGGTTCCAGATCCTCAACACAGGGTCCCTGTGCACAGCGCGGCATGCACTGAACCAGGATTCTTACGTACCCACGCAACCGATCTCGCTGCAAACGCCGACACATCTGCCCCCCTACATCGATCCTCTACCGGTCCAGGGGAATAGTTTGCAGGCTCTTTGTGCAGAATCGAAGCTGGACCGTGCCGTGCACCGGGGTGGTCAGTGCAGCATTAGCTTAACAATACACTCATAACTGCGGCGCGCGCATGCGTGTGTGTGAGTGAGCCGGTGATTCTTCAGGAGGAAGAAGCAATCGAGGACAAAGTCACTGTGCAATGTAGAGATTAATCCCACAGTAAGACTTAGATCTAGAAAGAGTAGTCATTGTTCGTCAGCTAATAACCACACCATGAGCGTTCAAATTAGCAACTCAGGGCCTCTAATCTCTTCCTGCTGCTGACCCTACGGCTGCTGTAGTTGAGTGGACAAGTTAAACTGCACACCCGGACCTTTCACATGATGTTGATGCATCAGAGCCTCAGAGCCTCAAATTGGGTTTGCCTCCAACACAACTAAAAATCCGACACCTATTATTCTAATTTTTCAACAACTGAGCTCATAAGGAATTCACTTGATGTGACTCTCAGAAGCCTGTGAGCCTCCAATTAAACTAGGGGCCAGCAAGCAAGGAAGCGCTGCCCAATGTCCAAATCCCCAGCGCTAGTTCACCGGTTATATTGGCTCATGTCTAGAGTGCACTAGTTAACCGACCAATTAACAACACCTTGTCCAAAATCTGGCCGACTGCCGATTAATTAATTAACTTGGTCCATGTTTCTAGTATCATTGATATGTAGCATCTGCTTTCGCTCTGCTTAGTAGGTGTGGGCTCTGATTGGATGCAATTAGTGTTTGGTCACTGTAGTTTAACATGGTTAATTAGTTAATCAACTAATTATGGAGCTGATTAATCAGTTAACTATTGTTGTTACCCAACTGATTTTGGTAGTTTAACTGGCCAACCAGTTCATTCCTGTGGCAGGGTCAGTTAACTGACAACTTGACAGTGGACACACCACGTCCATTTGGGACAGTCCAAAGTATCACTTGATGATCGATGTAAGCCACAAAGTGTGTTGGTTTTCAACTTCAATTGACTGAGCACAGATGTATGTGCATCCCAGCGTTAACTAGAACCCTCTCCTTAAATGGGATTTCTATTCTGGAATATGTCATCAGGGAACTCTTTTTTTTTTTTTTCTTTTCTTTTTTTTTTTTCCCTTCCTTTATGTTTTGCAACATCATCTCTTGCAACTCATTCACTTTTTTTATTTTTTTTATTTGGATTTTGGTTATTTCATCTGGGTTTGTTTAGTTTTGATTTTGCATGTTAATTTTTTTTTAAAAAAAAAGAGACTATCAGTTGTTTTAAAAAAATGAAATTTCCATGCAAGAAGGTACATGTGTTTTTGTAAATGAATAAATAATGAAAAAGAAAATTAAATCAAAGATAAAGAAAACCATATCAATTAAAAAGAAAATTCGAAAAGAAAATTCGAAAATGGTAAGGAAGGTAACAATGGAGGGACCAGAATCAACCCTAAAGATCTCCTCCATGTTGAATAGGAGGGTGATATGTGGTGTAAGAAATATTAACACAATTGTGATAGTCAAAGTAGGAAAAATGTTATGAAGAACTTTTTTTGATAAATTTATGTGAGCCAATGGTTGAATAGTATACCAATGAATAGTTGACATCCTTTATTCGCCCTTTACGGCAATGAAAACAAATTTCCTTCAATGACAACACATATTTGCCTTTATCATTTTTTAAATTATATATATATATATATATATATATATACTCACAATAATTTTGTTTCTTACCAAAATTTCAAGAAGACAACTAAAGATGGCAGTTTAAAATGGAATTCCTAATTTTAAAGCTTGCTCTTTACACCCCACGTCAATATTCTCTTCAAATGAAGCTCCGTCTTTCCCCCTATTTGCCAACAATTTACATTCTCCAATGGTAAATTTCATGTCCACTTTCTCACTAGCTTCTCAATTCTCTATAATCTTTGGTTTAACCTCCTTACTCTGATACCCAAATAACAAATGCTCCACATCTAAACCTCCAAACAAGCTACATGAGAAGCCAGTTTGCTTGAGCTGCTAGCTAGCCTTGTGGCCTTGTTCCAGGTTTAGGGTTTGAGGGAGACCTCTCCTATTGCTATGGTTTTCCATGTCCATATCTTTCAAGCCCTGAAGAGCTAAGGCAAGGTGTACCCAATTCCAAAGCTACTGAACTACCCACCTACCATGTTGTTTGGTGGGTTCAGCCCTATGGCATGCTTGTGACAGGCCCCATAATCTCATGCCCAAAAACAAAACAAAATACACTGGTAGTAGTAGTAGTAATAATAAGAAGAAGAAATGAATAAATAAATAAAAACTAGCTTCTTTTCTTACCAGTGAATAGCTTCATGTTAAGCTGAAAAGAATGAGCGCATCCATTCGTTCCTCCGTTCATCCACTGCTATTCAATACGATACAACAATCCAGTGGCAACGTATTATAAGTCAAAGTGATATGGACTCGCTTATGTGATGGTATGGCTTGATTGCTCAAACTCATGTCAACGTAATTCAACAACCCAATTGAGCCCATGAACTAAAAAAAATGAAGTTATTCTGATGTAGAGTAGACGAATTGTGATGCTCAGGAGAACAGGTTTGAAGGCACTCTTGGAATCAAAGGTTTGAGATGCACATGCTGATTCTGAAGTGTTTGCAAGCGTGGATTCTGCATCTAGCAACGAGGGTAGTGTTCGGAAGAGGGATCGAGACTCCGCAGGTCTCGGCTTACAGTGTGCCAACAAAGCAAACTTCATCTCCTCGATGAGATCGTCCGTTTTCCCTTAATTTGTTGACAAGAAGACGATTCTCTCCTTGCTAGGGAGATACTTGTAAGGTTTTTGCATTTGTTTATGTAGTGGTGTGCTTGTTGGTACGCATTTTGCTGATGTTTACAAACTATAAGTGACAAGTGTATTTTTTTTTTCTTTATGTTTGTTGAGGATGTAGAACACAGTTGAACCCAGTCCATGGACATAATGGTAGACAGGATTCGTTGTATCCCCCATGTGTTCTTTCTCGGAGGATGGTCAGTAGATGAGGTTTTGAAATTTTGTTTTTAGAAAGTTGCTAATGAATTTGGTGTTGGGATGATCAGGAGTGGGTTTGAATGAGTGGGGAGATACCGACAATGGTGTCGCCCGTGGTGGTTGGGAGGTTCGGTTTTTTGGCTCTGGGATTGATGACGGCTTGTACAGTACTCTATACCTGCATTACTGATGGCCTCCCTTTTCGACTGGAACTGCTTACCCCGCACTCCCAACTCTCCCTTGTTTTGCTACAGTGAGGCTTGATGCCGTCAATTTTAGATAAGATGGCCAGCATTCAATACTCGTGTATTGAAATTGGTAACATATCAGGAACAAGGTTTGTTGGGTCAAGTCGAGTGTCGAGATGGGCACTCCTATCGAATTTATAGCTGAGCATCGCGCCTTCAGAACGCAATATCGTGGGTCTTGTTGCTGAAATTCCAATGTGGCTTACAGATGGATGGGTGCCTTCCCAGTCGACTTTTATGACAATGTTGTTGCAATTGCGGTAAGCTTACAGCGTGACGTTGATGTATTACGATGCACGATCCCGTATATGACAGGTGGCTTT